GAATTTTTGATATCCTCTCAAAACTTATATGTTGAAGTCCTAACCCACAATGTAATGGTACAGCCCTCCCTTGGCATCCACAGGGAATCAATCAGTTCCAGACCCCCGCGGATACCAAAATCCTCAGAAACTCAAGTCCCTTATTAAAATGGCGTAGTATTTGCATATAACCTATACACATTCTCCTATATGCTTTAAATCATCTCTAGATTACTTATAATGCCTAATACAATGTAAATACTATGTAAATAGTTGTTATATTGTATTGTTTAGGGAATAATGACAAGAAAAAAAATGTCTGTACATGTTCAAGACAGATGCAACCACCCTAAACCTAGCTACATGCTACATGTCAGCAAAAATGTAACTTTTTTTCAAATACTTTCCATCCACAGTTGGTCGAATCCCTGAATGTGGTACCTATAGATATAGAGGGCAACTGTGTTAGGAGGTGGGACCCTTGGGAGATCATTAGGTCATGAGGGTAGAGCCCTCATGAATGAGATTAGTGCTCTTCTAAAAGAGACCCCACAGAGCCCCTTAGCCACTTCCACCAGGTGAGGATATAATAATAAGTCTGTGACCTGGAGGGGGACCTTCACCTGACCCTGCTGACACTCTGATTTTGGACCTCCAGCCTCCAGAATTGTGAGAAATAAATTTCCATTGTTTATAAGTCACTCCGTCTGTGGTACTTTGTTATAACAGCCAAAACAGACTTAGACAGCCACTGAATTATACACTTTAAAATGATTAAAAGTGTAAATTTTATGTTATGTATATTTTACCATAATCAAAAATAAAAAATATTTAATATGAAAAGAAAGCTTAAGATCAAAATCTTCCCAAATTCCACCACTCAGAGACAATCACTATCAAAAATTTGCCATACCTCCTTCCTAAATATAGCACATTGTCTGGTAACCTGCTCTTCAGAAATATATATTCTCCATGTTAATAAATATACATCTATATCCTATATTCTTTGTAGCCACGTGCTATTTCAATGTATATAGATATACCATAATTAACAGGTTTACAATTATTAGGCATTTAGTCTCCATTTTTTTTGTTATTGTGGTGGTTATGGTTATTATTATAAATAATGCTGCAAAGGACATCACCATGCACATATTTTTCTGCACTTGTCCAATTGTATCCTTAGGATGAGAATTCCTGCAGGTGGAGTGGCTGAATCAGGGACTCCCTTGGGAGGATTGTCAACAAAGCATTATGAGTAAAACCACACTAGGGATGTTGAATTCTGTCATATAAAAATCTCTTTATCCACGTGGGCCTTTCTTGGATTCCACCTGGGTGCCTATGATACTACATAGTAGTTCAGGAACATAGGGACTGTCCTTTCCATAAGACACCAGGCCCATACTCCCTACCCACCAGGCTTCCTCTGGGGACACACTATGCCTGTGTCATGAAGTGAAACTGGTACACAAGGAAGGCAGAATTTTACTGGGTTAATGTTTACGGAATTCCCTTGTGCCAGAAGGAAAGACAATACAATACCAAAACTCTAGGATAGCCCAGTGCTGGGTCCCATGGTAAGCAACATAAGTGTGAACATAGGAAATGTTTTCTTTCGTTAAAGGTTTTATTCTTGTGTGGACAGAAGGAGAATGCAATGGACTCTTCCCAACAAGACCAAAAGCTGGATGGGACATGTACAATCATCCCACCCTTAGCACTGGAGATAGGGAAAGTGAGGCCCCAAAAGTCCCATAGCATACGCATTTCAATAATCATTAAACGAACCCCAGAAGAGTCTCATACACAGTGGATCTGCCAGTTCAGGGCAGATGGTATGTTCATTTAAACATAGCCCAAATTTTGACACCAAGTACAGTTCTTATCCTCCTTACCCTATGTACAAAATTAGAAATCAAGATCACTGAGGTCACACACATCCCAGGTCAGACATGGTGAGATGTGTGCTGAAGCTGGCTCTCAGGGGCTGACAGAGCACATCTCCTCCCAGCTCAGTGTTGAGTGATGCCAAGTTAGTAGCTTGAAATCTGCCACAGTGGGTATATTTATACTATAAAAACCACCAAACACCACAAAACAGAGTTTTATCCCCCTCCCTGCAGAGCCAGTTGTCAAACATTTATTAGCATATCACTGGTCACAATCTGGATGTGAAAACCAGAAGCAGGTGACTTCAGTGTCCTCACCTTATCTAAGGATAACATTATAATTCTCCATGGTCCATCATCATACTCACTCCCAAATCTATCACACCCTTTTTACACTCATCAATGAGCCTGCAAATGTTTGAATGCTTGCTGTCTGCCCAGCTGAGCACATAGCACAACATCCGGTTGGGATAGCTATCATTTCCATCTTACAGTTGGAGAAACTGAGACTCAGAGACTTCAAATAATTTTTATCTATAGACTAAAGCTTGTCTTAGGTTTCTCACCCAGAAGTTGACTGTCCTAAGATAAGAGTTCAAGTGCCAGTGGAATAGAGTGAGAAAGTGAACACAGAAGTAGCGACTGGAACTCAGTCTTGTTAGGCAACTCTGAGAGCCAGCAGATCTACCCCAAGGGAGACATAGGGGAGCTGGAGTATTTATGCATCTTCTCCTATTAGTCATTCTTTGAGGCCAAAGGAACGTGAGAAGGATGCTGACACTGCATCCTAGCTAGAAAACAGCTAGCAAATGCAATTCAATACTGTTTTCAATTACTTTTAAAGAAATGAACAGTTAATCAAACACTTAACTGAGTGCCAACTATGGGTAAAGCACCATGCTGATGAAGTAAATCTACTTTGCCAAATCACTTTTGATTGACACGTCCAATAAAAATATAAGGTATCTTTTTGCCAATTTTTATCAATACAATAGAAAAAGCCCTTCTAAGTCACTTTGCTCATCCCACAGGAATCAGCCAAATGCCCTTCCCCACCCTCTTCTCCTGTGAGAGGCGGCCCTCTCTGGTTCAGCCTCAGCTGCCTTGGGCAGGAGTTTTGCAGCCTCAAGCTGTCATCCCAACCTGTGATTACAGACTCCTGTGATTACAGCCATTCCAGGGATGACTCCAAATGACCCCCTGGTCACTTAGTCAGCCAAATCTGAAGGCTATCCATGTTTACTGTGCCCTGTTTGTCCTGTGCCTCCTGCTTCATCTCCTCCCTTCCATGTCCTCCATGGGAACCCACAAGCAGGCCAAATAAATGAAACCACAATCATGGGCCTGTGGGAGCTTACTCCAACTTAAGGATTTATTTAAAATTCTTCTTGAGAGGCGGGGAGGTGTTTAAATAGGACAGTGTGTCATTGGGATAAATCACTGGACCACACTGTGAAGAGTGGTGGGAGGGGACTGCTGCCCTGGTTTTATAAAGCCAGCTACAGCAGTTCTCGGCAACTATGACTGGAAGACAGAGACTGGATGTCTTGTTCTAGTCCAAGAGCATGGAGGAGATCTACTCAGTTTCTCACTCTGGGGGAGAGGAAAAGGTGCTTTTGGATCACCCAGGGTGATCCAAAATTCCATGCTCTGCATGGGGTTCTCTGGCAACCTGGTCTCACCTCTACACCTCCAGTTAGCACACTTCCTGCCAAAGTATCCGAGAGGACTAAAAGCAATAATCAGGCCAAGGTCCTCTTGTGCTTTGGTGACAGGACCCCTTCCTGGCAAGCTCCGCAGTCCAGCGCTTAACGGTCCAGCAGAGATGCCAAGATGTGCGGTCCTGGGCACCTCTCCAGCCAGTTCTCTCGGCCATTCCTAAGCAGTTCAAGCACAGAAGGCAGACACAAGGCTTGGCTCCGGCGTCCCAGGAAATAGACGAGGAAATCAAAGCAAAAGCAACAGATGACTGAAAGGTCCCAGGTAGGCAAGTACATCCAAGAATGAGAAGGACTGAGGGGTTGAAAATAAGGTGTAAGGTTGTCTACCACTCCCAACTGACTCCTAAGACAACACAAACTGGAGAGCCTGAACCTCCAAACAGAAGACATGCAGAAATGCAGAGAGGTGGGCTCTGGAGCCCCAGGGACAACCCTCAAGAAGGTGGGGATGCTGCCAGCTAGAGGTACAGCAGGTGCAGGTACTGCCCACTCAGCCAGGTGCAGAAGACACACCTCCACCTTCCCCTGGAGGAGGGCATGGCTAAGGACCCCAGATTCCCTGGCTACTTTCAGCCAGGCTCCCCAAATGTGCCCCTCATCTTTCTAACAGATTTCACCTGCAAAAAAATGAAGGAAGAGGAGCATGGGATATGTCTAGGCTGCACCCCAAATGTTGTTTAGTCTCCCTAATACTCCACTTCTGCTCTCCCATCTTCTGAAGCAAGACTCACCTCCAGCCTCCCCAACACAGACAATCCCGAACTGTACCAGCCCAGACGCCCAGGAGCCCGGGCAGCCTGCCTGGTATGCCTCCATCTCCTTCTCCCAGGGCAAGAGCTACCATCTTTCCAAAACTACCCCCTTCTGAGCTCAGCCATCATTTGAGGCCCTCTTCTATCCCCCAGAGTCACACTGTATCACCACAGCTCCCAGGCATCAGCTGACCTGTCCAGAGGAGAAAGCACAGCTGGTGCCCAGACTCATGGCCCCAGCCCAAAGTCTCTGATCCCAAATGGGCACCTCCTAAGCCAACCCCACACTTAGTCTCTGGGACACTGTATTGGGACACAAGCTAAAAAAAATGAACTCTCCTCAAACAATCCAACATATCTTACTCGTGAGAAGTTTTCTGTAATTCTTCAGACAGCCTGATGAAAAAATTCTCAGTAAGTAAATGTAGATTGATAAGTAAAATAATTCCAACTCCAGATTCCTCATCCAGATGCTCCGGAAAGAAGGCCCCTGGCTCTAACTCACAGGCCGCTGTTTAAAAGAATCATTGTTTCTAATTCTTTCCTCCCATTGTACCAAGATCAATGGTGGCAGGAACCCAGTCCTGCTCCAAGATAAATTATTATTTGTCAGCTCATTGCTTCAAAAATTCATTCATCACATGTAAGGTACTTACTATAAACCTGGCCGGCTCTAGACACGGCCTCTGTCCTCTGGGAGAACACGTTCTAGGGACCCGGATTCCAGACACCTGGGAATAAAGTGCATGGAAACATTGAGAAGCCTCGAGCTCAGCTCCTCCTGTCACGGAGACTCAGAGCTGCTGTGAACAACTCAGGGCCCACAGATGGCCCCTGGGTAAGATGGCACCCTCGGTCTCCTTGTCGGGCCACCGCACCTCTCCGCTGTGCCCACGGCTCTCGCGGCTTAAGGGCTGAACGCAAAGCAGACGCTCGAAATGCAGAAGTGGCCCGGGGTCCGACCAACGCACCTGCCTCTCTCTTGGGCCCGGAGGACGCAGAGCCGAGCTCCCCAACGACCTCAGACACCCGCTCCGGAGGCGGGCGAGAAGACTGCAAAGGGGAAGTGCCTGGGGGAACAGGGGGCCCTCCTGCGCATCCTGCGCCCTTCAGAAGTCAGAGGGAGCCCGCCGGGTAGGCTGGAACCCGCCTCTGGGAAACCTTCCGTTCGGCGGGGAATAAAGGAACGGGATTGGGGTCGGGCACTCCCCAGGACGATCGGGGCCTGCCATCCCTGCACCTGCTGCTGGGCCGCACCTCGCCAGGGAGTCCCGTGGATGGAGAAGAGAAGGAAGGACCCTAGGGGTCGGAGCGGGAGATCGAGCTTGGAGCTACAACTTTCTCTGGCCAGAAAGCTGGCGGGCTGCGGCCCCGTGCCTACGCGGCCCCTGTGGAGTGGGTGCCCTCGGGAATCGCCCGTGTCTGGGGAACCAGGGAGGAGACCAGGCACAGGCGACGACGGAGGGGCGGACCTAGACCAGGCAGGCGACTCAGTGGGACAACTTTCGGCGGGAGGCGGATAGGGGACAGGGGAGAGAGGACCTCCCGGTATCCCTCACCTTGCGTCCCGCATCCCGCGCCTGGAGCCTCGCGCCCCACGCCCCGCGCCCCGCGTCTTGCCTGCTTGCCGAGCCGGTTGCATCTCGCGCGCGCCTCGAAGACCTTGGAGTTGGAAAGTGGGGTGCCACAACCGGGTGGCTTCTCCAGCCCGCGCGTAGGTCAGAGGTCCGCGGGCCCAGCTCAAATCCAGCCGGGCCGGGCAGGCGGCGGCCTCGCGATTGGGGGTCTGGCGCCCCGCCCTCCTCCCTCCAGCTCCACCCCTCCTCGCCCTTTTGCTCTCTCCAATGCCTTTATCTGCCCCTATCCGGTCCGATCGTGCTCCCTCCTCCTCTTTCTCTCGCACTCCATCTCTCCCCACACCCCTCTTCCCTCGCCTTTCTTCCTCCCCTCCTCTCCCGCCTGCCCTCCCCCCCTGGGGGGGCGGAGCTTCTCCCCTCCCTCCCAGACAATGCTGTGGCTGCGCGTCCCCTCCTTCCCCGCCCGCGAGTCGGGCCTTGGGCTGCCAGCGCCTCTTCCGGGCTGAGAGTGGGGGTGGGGTTGAGAGGAGGGGGTCAGATTGTGAGGGTGGGGAGGATGAGCTGGCTCTCTTCACCCTATTCTCCCCAAACCCCTTGTCTCACTCCACGCTGTGACAGCCACTCCTTGGGAACAGTCACACTGCCCCGCGGAGCCCACCTTGAGCGCTCCGGATTTCTCAATCAGAAGATGTAGAATTTTTCTTTTTTTCCAACACCCAGGCTTATTCCAAAAAGGGTTTGGACAGGGAGTTTGAGCAAGGACTAAGCCACGCCCCTTCTACTTCGCGGGCTGGCAGACGTGACAGTAATGTGAAAGAGGCCAAGTGTCTTTGTCCACCTCTCACCTCCCCTTCTTATCCATCCCTGGACCTCAAGGGGCTCTCAATGCACAGGAAGTCTTAGAGCACCCCAGCTGTAAGGGGTCCCTTATCCGTTCCCTCCTTATCAGAATTCTCCCCCCACATACAAACCCCAACTCTGCCGACTCAGTCCCCAAGCCAAAAGGAAAGGGGACCTAACCTTTAATGGGGTAGCCAACCACCAGAATACAGCTAATGGGTAGCCAACCATTAGGATGCAGCAGGATCAGCTCATCCCTCCTGGAAGCCAAACATTCTTTACTAAATTCATTGTTTGGATCTTGGAATGTGTCTCCCTTAGAAACAATGTTATAAATGGTGATCTGCTTCCAGGCTAGCCACAAAAGTCTTTTGAACCCAAAACGCAGCTGTGGGGTGGTGCTGAAAACTGTGTCAGTTACTCAGAAACAAGGAGGACACTGACCAGCTTTTTCTATAGGAAAAAAAAATTATCTCCTCATTCCTCTTGAGATATAAACACAAAGCACCCTCATTAATTTCCTCCTCGAGCTACTACACTGTATTAGTTAAGCTTCTTTCCTTTTCAGATAATGTGAACACCCTCAGAGGATTGTATTCTGAGGACATGGGAGTTTCCCTATAGCCTCAGGGTCAGAGCTGCAGGGAAAGCTCTGTAAAAGGCAAATCCAGAGCCTGGAGGGCTTCCAGTAACCCAGGAGGTCCTCTGTGAGGAGCCAAATCTTCCCTTTCATTATATAATGGCCTTCCCTGCACTCAAAACACATGACAAAGGGTGACCATCACTTGTATCACTGGAGCTTGGAGCTCCCTGTTGAAGCAGCCAGGCCAAGCTAGAATCCCCAAGTCACTACGCCAATCTCCCGGGAGAGCGGCTCATTGGCCCAGCTTAGATAGGTGACTATGCTATGACCAATCAACTGGAGCCAAGTGTGGGCTTACATCGTCCAAAGTAGGCTGCCAGGAAACCTGACCTTATGCCCTGCTTAAAACAAAATGCATTCCTTTCTACTTGTATTCTCTATCTTGATGAACATATTGATTGATTAATTGGTTCAGGATACCAGAAAACCTCTTTCTTTTCATCAAATTCCCTATACAGAAGCCACAGGAGAGAAAGGAATAGGCCCCTTATTCATCAAGGCAGTATAGGGACAATACATTTGTAGCAGGGATAATATTTTACAAATATTAAACTGATACATTAGAAGCCCCCCACCCCAAACTCAGCCTCCAAACTGGACCAGGAGGCACACAGATAAGCATTACCTAGACTAGTCCTCAAATAGAAATGCAATGTGAACCACAGGTGAGGTTTAAAACTTTCCAGCCACATTAAAAATAGTAAGAAGAAGCAAGTGAAATTAATTATAAAATATATTGAACTTAAACCAAAATACCCAAAATATTACCATTTCAACATGTAAGCAATATAAAGAAATTATTTTTTATATTTTATTTTTCTACTAAAGCTAAAACCAGGTATGTATTTAAACTTTGGCTCCTCAATCTAAACATTAAATTTTCATCAAAAATACTTGATCTACATTTAAATTTTATAAAATTTCTACTTGAAAAAGTAGATTCACATACCTAAATTGTTCCAAACAACTTGCTTAAAAGTTTCCCAGTAACTGAATTGAGTATTCGTGTTTTAATTTAAGCTTTAATTAGTTAAGATTAAATAAACTTAAAATTCAGTTCCACCAGTCACATTCCAAGTACTCAATAGTCACATGTGGCTAGTGGCTACCATATTGGGACAGCACAAGTTTAGGGAGCAAGGAAGTCACAGATGAGCTCAGAGTCTCACAGCTGACCTCCCTTATCTCTTTAGCAGAGCAGTGGCAGGAATGTCAAGCATGGCAGAAAGAAAATGATTTTCCAAATTCCTTTGTGTCCCCGTATAACATCTCAAGAGGCAGGTTTTACCAGTAGATCAGAGTTCTCCTTTATGCTTGAGTAGAAGCAGGGTATTCAGAGAAGTGAGAGTCCAAAGCTTACTCTTCTGTTCCCAGTGGATTCTGGGAAAAGGGAGGAAGCAGGGGACACAAACAGTCAGAAATGTCATATCTCCCCTGTGTGACCTTCAACGATTGAGGGGGAAATGGGAGTTCTGGGGATAGCGGAGAGGGGACTGCTACACTGGCTGCTCTCCCCTGTTCTCAGGCACTGACCTAGGGGAGGGTGCAGCCTTATTAAAGTCAACTCAGTAGTTACAGAGGGAAAGTCTGGGTTTAGCTTTCTGGGGTCACCCCACAATTTCTGTGTGGCATAGACATGATGCAGAAGTTCCCACCGGCTCCCAAGGATCAGGTTCCTCAGAAGGAAGCTAAAGTGTGAGTCACAACCTTCCACAGGGCCCGACTTAGTGTGTATTTGCTCGCCTTTCTCCCTCCCCTTGCATTCCGCCATTCTCACATGGCACCATCCTCGCGTGCCACAAGAGAACAGAAGACAGAAGCTCCCCCAAAGATCTATCTAGGAGAGAGATGGGGAAGGAAAGAGAGAGTTTTTATCTAAGGAGATCAGTAGGACTGTTTATATTATTGCATCGGACTTTTTTTTTTTTTCCTCTGCTATACAGGATGTAAGAATCTACAAGAAAGATCTAATGAGTTATAAAGAAAAAAGGAAGCTTAAGCAAGGTCTGCCACTGGGACCCGAAAACATGTAGACATGTCTGACACACTGGTATGGTGGGCTAGCTAGAGATGTGTTTGTTTGAGAGGTGAGGAAAGGCCCTCTTGGGAGATTATTTTCATTCTATGAAAAGAAGAGACCAACTTTGGTCTAGTAACAAAACTTTAGCTGACAGAAGGGAGGTGAGATTGTCACTCAACTTTGCCCCTATCCTGGCCCCTAGATACTTTGTAGGGGGAGGGAGGTTCCTGGGAAGATGGAAGAAACTCTCAGTTACAACTCAAATGACTGTTTCATAACCTCAAGGATACTCTGGGGCCCAAGCAGCCATGCTTTAGGGACCTCCGGCTAACTAACACTTAAGGTCCTCACACTCAGTATTCAGCTTCTCTATTTCAAAGGCTGGGTATATTGAAAACATTTCCCAGAACCCAGTGGATAGTTTGCCAAAATGGACACAATGATTCCTTTCCCTGCATACACTTTGCAGTTCCCCCCACAAAGAGTTGGCATCTGCTTTCTCGCCTTGAATCTGGACATTGTGACTTGCTTTGGCCAACAGAATGTGGCAGAAGTCATAGCATGCCTTTTCAGATCCTGGGCCTCAAGAATCCTTGCAATCTTCTGTGTGCCATGTGAATAAGCCTGAACTATCCTTCTGGAGGATGAGAGACTACATGGCCCAGAGCCAACACCCCAAACAAGTGAGAGACCCCACCAAGATCAGTAAAGCCTCCCGTCCAACCCAGAACTGATCGATGCATGAGGGAGCCAGCTGAGTCTAGCCCAAATAGCCAATCAATAAAAGTACAAGCTAAATTGATGATTTTCATTTAAGCCACTAAGGTTTGGGGTAGTTTATTATATAGCAGTGGCAAACTGTTAAAGAACTTAACAGGATTTTTTTTTTTAAAGCTTACTATGTGAGGTGATGGATATGTTAACTAACCTTATTGTGGTAATGATTTCACAATATATATGTATATTAATCATCACGTTGTAGACCTTAAACTTACATAATGTTATATGTCAATATCTCAACAAAGTTAGGGGAAAAAAGAAACACAAGAAATAAAAGCCTTTAATATAAAGGGGGCAAAAACCTAACAGGATAAAGTGGCCATGGCTGACATGACTAGGATATTGGTGGACACAAGTCTAGAGTCTCCTGGATTTGTTTATGAGCTTCTGAGAGATGCCTCTGGGAACTCCCCCGCCAACACAACACACACACGTTTGTTTATGAGCTTCTGAGAGATGCCTCTGGGAACTACCCCCCTCCCCAACACACACACCCCTTCTTCCAAAGCAGTGTAGAGGTATTTTCAGATGGCTGAAGTCTCAGTGAGCTGGTGACATTTATATTTGTGGCTGTTAATGTGACCCCATTTGTTCTCATAAATTGGAGAGACCTAGAGAAATTTGAGTAACAAAGATTTTGTCACTGAACTCCACCAGCTTAGCTTTCATGGGAAAGGAATATCTTAATTAAAAGTATCCACTTTATTCACCACTAAGAAATTTCCATAGCATCTAAAATATTGATGTGGGATGGTGTCTAGATTCATCCTTGGAGATGGGAGGGTCGATTAAAACTCTTGTTTGTACACTTGGTACCTAGGCTCAGGTGCATGAGGCTCGGGCTCCAGACAAGAGATCTATTTTACTGGATTTTTCCTCCTTCAATTAAAGCACAGATAGGGGCTGGTAAAAGGAAAAAAAGAGAGGAAAGGATCCAACGTACATGGCCTTGACTCATTCATTTCCAGCAAATACGTCTCTTTTCACAAAAAGTACTTGATATAGAGCCTTAAGGCTCACTACTAAATACTTTCTGGGCAGCTATCTCTC